GGAAATTAATAATTTTCACACCAGTAATCATAAGCCACGACATGCAGATGCATGCATATTTTAATTCAAAACATCCCCCCTCTAAACATGGCCCTCCCTGACTAGAAAAAAGAGGCTTTCTTTTTTATTTTCTTTCCTTTAAAGTCTCAAGTGTACGTGGTTTTTGTGCCGAATTCTAAAGTAAAAATATTTTAGACGTGAATGATTTTTTTTTTTGGCCTGAATAGACGTGGATGATTGGACAAGTGTGAAATGAATTTTGTGGTTGGGTTGATGAGGTAATTAAATAGTAATTATCGATGTGTTGGCAAGAGATGAACATCGAAAACACGAACTACTTTTGACGCGTTGGAAAGAAAGGCTGCGGAGGCAAGAGATTGGGCCTAGGCCCAATAGCTTTTATAACAGCGAGATGGTCCCGGCTATTACGTGCAGCAGATTTGGATCCGACTATACCTCACGTGCGCCTTGGCATTGCATGCCATGCCCATCATCATTGCGCCTCTTATTCTTCAAAATCCACGATTCCTCTCCCTCTTTTACGATCTCAACCTTTTTAATTTTTATCAGCTCGTTTTCCTTCTCAAATTTTCGTTTGAAAAAGAGGGGTCCCGTAATAAATAAAACAAAAGAGGGGGTCAAATACAAATTTGAATTCCATCGACTGATCTTTTGCCTGGTGTGTAAACATGGTTAATCGACCACTGCGAATGGATATGACATTCTAACTTTGTGAGCTTTATCAAACTTTTCCTTTTAATTTCACATCTCATATCTTGATATAATATTGTTTCTTTCTGCGATCTATATATCTTTTTGTGGTAGTTGGCTTTCTTTAAAAAAAAAACAAAAACAAAAACAAAAAAGTGGTGACGTGTTTTGGCGTCGAGCATCACGCATGTCGGCAGCAAAATGTTTAAACAGAGAGACACATTTTCTTTCTCATGTATGAAAAGACCATATATATATCTGTATTAAAAAGAAAAGGAAAAGAAAAGAAAAAAGTAAAAGGTGATCACAAGGAAATAAAGAACGATCTATTTCAAATTTTACAGCTATATAGATCTCCTTGGAGGGGAAATTCTCTTTCAGAAAGGTCTGTAAATGATTTTTTTTCTTTTTTTTAAGAAGACCACCTGCCTGCAATTTCCCCAATTTCTCGTTCAAATAGATTCTGTGATCATAATATTAAATGTATTATCTAACCTGCAGGCGTTTGGTATTTACAAAGGGAATATATAATTTGGCTTGTGAGCTTTTGAAATTCCATGCACGACGAGGCCTTTCTCATCTATTAATGACCACTAGAATTATTCCAATAATTGCTCTTGAAAATATTCTTTCGAGCATTGGAAGTGGAATAAATAAAAGGAATAGTGAAAATTAAAGCCATTGTACAATAGCTGAAAAAAAGAATAGTGGAAAAGCCACTTAACAGACAATTAGTGATCCCAAATGCGCTTCATGTTTCGTTCTCAGTGGTAAGACAGAAGCGAAGCAGGCATATTTTCCCGACCACATGTTGTAGATCACTTTCAATAGTTCTGCTGCCATGGCACCTTAATTTCTTCGCATTTTGTGCTATTCTTCAAAGAAAAAAGATCTGAAAGAAATCAAGATTTAAAATAACAGCCACAATCGCGTGTTGCAATTAATAGGCTAAAAGGGGAAACCACTTTCCACAATAAATTAAGTTTGATCTACTTTATTCTCTTATAATTTTAAGTGTACCTCAATCAGGTGCCAACTTTATCTCCCTGCTTTTAAGGGTAGTTAGATTCCAATTCCATATGTCCTTTCGCTCAACATATGAGAAGGAATCTTATTAGATTAGGGTAAGCAGTACACACACACACATGAACACTATACAGATAGCATTGATATGAAGTGCGTCAATTATTGTTTTTCCTTTCACCATAAGTCTACTTGGACGAAGAATGAGATACGAAAATACCCTTTTGTCAAAAAAGAATTCATTAATCCTTGTCTGTTGCCGTCGGAGCAAGCAAGTGCTGGGAAGAAAGCTGAACAAATTAAAGAAGAAATAAGAAAATGAAGCGATAGACAAATTAAAGAGAAAGGCAGTCTAAGATGGAGGCTTCACAAATAGTGAAAATAAAGAAAGAGGATAAAAAGAGAGGAGTGAAAGGTAGAAGAGCATATAATACGGTTAAGCGAGATTTAGCAAAAGGCAAAGAGATAAAGCATTCACTGAAACCCCACTTTAATTTTGTCCACCACGAATCACACTAATTCTCGAAGACCCCTCCATCTTTTTAAAAGCCGCATATAAGCGACAAATTCTCTACTTACGCTTGAGGGCTTTAATTATTGTTGGCCAAGCTTATGATCTTTTAGTGATTCTAAAGCAGCAACGTCTTTGAGGTTTAAAGAAGAGATGCTTATCTATCTTTTTCTCCATACTTTTCCATTATACTAATTATTTTGAACACTCACACCGCAACCTTTTATTGCTTTCCGAGGATGAGAGAATGTTGGGTTTCGAAATTCCAAGAAAGAAAGTTATTCTTTTGCAAAATGCATCATAGCATGAAAAGTTGTGCTCTCTCGGCGAAGATTTTACCTTTTTTCTTCCGAAGTAGAAAAGTTGCCTCCTCTTTGCATAAACCTTACGTTATGAATCGCACAATAACTATGATATTTTGCCCAGTTCAACAATGTAATTAAGTGCAGGATGATTAAGATGAACTATACAATCTTTCCGAAGCACATTGTTCAGGGCACGTACGGTCAGTTTAGACTGATATAAGAAATTAATTAAATACTGATTTCAGACTCGCTATCGGGCAACTCGATATCAACTGTCTTAAAAAAATTATAAACTAAATATTATTATTTATATATATTCAAATATTATTATTACTGTATTGAAATATATATATTTTGAAGAAACAAAAATCTAGAGTTAAAAAAAAAACTAATTAGATACTGAAACTTTATGGACATGTGTCATGGTTAATGTTTAAATTACTGAAGTCTTGAGTCTTGACTACGGACGGGCCTATATCTGGTAGATCTACATAATGGATGATGTTCATTATCTCCTGTCGTCATTCTTGATGCAACATATAACATATAAATTGTTTGCCAGCACCAGAAAAAAAATATTAGAATTAATGGATATAGAGACGAATTTATGCTAATGGTATAAGAAGTAAGCTGCATGTTGAGTAGTGGTGTTGATCAGAAAGTTGGAAAATACTATGTATCTGATCTGATGCGCTCCTGTAAATAAATAAAAAAAGAAAGTAAAGTTTAATTAGCGTACCTGTGTAGGATATTTAGAGTACAAATTTTGGAATAAAGTGGAAAGTGCATTATATTCGTCATCATCATTAGCCCCTTGCCATAGATCTACCGTTCAACCTTAATATACTATAAACCCAACAGACACAAGGCTGCTGGTGATGCATTTCTGATATTACACTTTACGACATTAGACTGGCGCACGCATGTTTTAGAATTGTTAGACTGGACATGTGTCTCCCCGACTCCCTATAATCCTATCCACATGTCACCATATGCACGTTTAAAACCATTAGTGATATGAACAAAATGGGGAACTATATATTAAACCTAGCATTTAATGGTATTAGGAATCATACGTATCCCTGTGTTCTCTCTGATGCGCTCATGAAACTTTGATGATTTTAATTCAGTTCATGCAATTAAGTAGCGATATGATGTGGTTCATCTATAATTCTGCTTTCAATAGGAAACATGTCTTTTCATAAGAATTCTAAAACATGACAGCTTTTGTGAGGCAAGAAATGACTCCCCCCTTATCCCAATTTGAAATCGAGCTTGCTAGTGTTAGTGTGCTATTCTTTCTCTCGAATATGCCAACTGTTTGATTCACGCCAGGAAACAACAATTGGTAGGCCCTAATAAGCGCACATAGAAAATAAATTAATCCAAGAGAGTTGTAACGCAATCAACAGTCATCAAGTGGCCGTTTCAAAATTTCTTTTCAATTTACGGGTAAAAACGCAGATGATTAACGAAACACGATATATTCTTGGTTATCTATGTGCAAGATCTTCTCGAAGGATATTATAAGATATCGTTGGAAATTAGGATTGAACCAAAAGCGTCGAGAATAATCAAAGAAATGAAGTTTCTTGTATGTTTTAAGGAAATCACCTCGTTAAAGCATCTGTATAGTAATATATCGAAAATCTTTCCGCGGAAAGATGATGATTCCACTCAATTCAAACCACAAAAAAAAAAAAAAAAGGAAAGAAAAGCTTATTTTATGCTTATTATGGAACTGTTGTATCCAGATAGCGCACGTCGGTTTCATGCACATGTGGTTGAGATGACCCAAGTTATGAACGAGCCAGCCGAAAGAAAAAGATGACTATACTTTTTATTCTTGGGCGACATATATCAGTTATGGAAGTTAAACTGAGATGAAGGAGAAGCTGAATGACGTTCCACACATGCAGTTCAAGACGCAAAATAAGTTTATGAGCACAATTAGCAAGGAGACTTGTTCATCACGGTCATCGAGTTCGCAAAAAGTGACGTCGTTACCATTTGGAACAAGTAAAATTAAATGTATTAAGAATAGTTGATTGCTTTTTAATTATATGTTATCTCTGATCCTCAATATAAAATTTTGTTAGACTTTTATTTTGGTCCTAAATATAAAACCCCAATCCACTTTGTCTCTAATATTTATCCAGGATAACAAGCAAAATTTCAAAATAGTCTTCCTAATAATGATAGTTCTATCTAATAAACTTGATTAGCAAGGATATTTTAGAAAAGATAACACATATTCATCACAAATAACTAATTTAACTCATTTTTTTAATCTACTCAAATTAGTTAACTAACTCTTAATACTCTATATATCTATACCCTAATAGAAGGAGCGGCATAGCGGGCCAGAATGCCACCAATCAAATTGTTTCGTGGAGCACATCCTTAATAATTAATTTGGTTGAAGACTAGTATACAAAGAAAAAAAGAGCGAAAGAAAGAAATTAATCCCCAAAATTAAAGTTCTATACGCATCACATGTGACGGTTGGTAATAATATACATATATAGAGTTAGTTAAGGGGCGTGCAAATTTTTCACCTCCAGCCCTTAATGCCTGAGCATCCAAAGACATGCATGTCACAGGATGCAACCAAGAACAAAACCAAAAAAAGAAAAAAAGAAAAAAATCAGATAATTTTTAGCCCCTCATAATTCCTGAGTTTTGAAGACAATCCGTCTATCTACGGATTCAAGAAGCCCAGTGCAATCCACTTGCCGATCCTCATCACAGTCATCGTCAATAGAAATATTCAAATCCAAGGACACACAAGGGCCCGTCTCCCCCGTAGCAGCAATATTTTCATCCTTCTCCTCAGATGCTTCAGATAACAACTTTTGCCTAACCGGCGGAGAGGACGCTCTTGACCTCGAGCTGAAACTTTCACAGCTGAAAATGATTATTGCATCACAAAGACTAACCTGTTTGCCATTTGAGTCCATTATTCTTCCTCTTTCAATGGCCCTTTTCAAACCCAATTGAGAACAATAATCCGCTTGGTCTATGTCCTCCAGCAGAAACACCCTGTGAGGATTGCTCGAAACTGCATCCCCGAATCTCTCGACGTAATAACTTTGTTCGTCTCTTGATCGTTTGTTTCGGCAAAATTCCTCTGTTGAATCCGCCCCTGTTGATGAAAAACTACTCAAAGCTATTGAAACGACGTTATTGCTCTGGGACCCAAATACTTGCATAGCCAGTTCTCTGGCTATCTTCTCTTTAGCTTCCACATCAAATCCTTGGAAGAACAACCACGTCTCTTCCTTCGCCTCGCTGTTTCTGATCTTCCCCTTTCTTCTTAATATGCCAGACCGACACTGCAAAACGGTACTTACGATGTCTGGTACTATATCTTTCTGCCTCGGGACTTTTTTCTCCAAGGCGCTGCATAGGGTTTGCAAATTCTCTGAATTGATCTCTCTGAACTTGCTCACGTATTCCGTTTCCATGGGATCGCTGGATGAAGTGGAGTTAGGGTTTGAACAGGGATTGTATGGTGGGAATGACTGTTTGGCGCTGTTATGCTCTGGGATGTACATTCTCAGAGTTGTTTCGTTTGGCTTATTAATACTGTTGCCACTTTCAGAGATCCAGAAAAGCTGGTCTCTTGGCGGGTTATATGAGAAGCCCGAAGGAGATGAAGAAGGTGATGCAGAGGAAAATGTGAAGGTTTGTTCACGATGATAGGGTTGTTTTTGAACTGGACCATTGCACATGGAATTCCACTTTTTACAGACGTCTCCCACTGGAACGCAGCTCTGTCACAAGAAGAAAAATTAATTAATTTTCCATATCCGATATTTTGCACGTATGCACGAATATATATAATTCAATATAATGCTCTATATATAAGCTGTAATCTAATTAAAAACCTGATCATTGGAGGATGCTCTACTCTCATGTTTGTATTGTTGGAGCCATGCAGGGAGAGTTGCTGATGAGTCGCTGTTACAAACGCTACTCTGCAAGCTTCGAACTTGTAGTTCAAACATCGGTGAAGACTCGGCCAAGCAAGCCGCTTGCTTCTCTTCCACTGGTTCCGGTAACAGCCAGCCTATTCGGTTTCCCTCAGCTTTCTTGTTAGAGGACCGATTTTGCAGGTCACTGGATGAAAAAGGTGTAGTGAAATTAAATTTTCAGATGATATTAGGACGCACACCTATATAAATATAATATTCATATGAGGGACAATTTATTTCATAATTAACTATAGTTGGCCTTCTAACAAAGTCATTCAAGAGAATAGTACACTTTAATGGATCGGAAAAGGCAAAAACAAAAATAAAAACTAATTAAAATTGAGATATTCTATAGTGCTAGTGGGGGAAAAGGAGGGAAACCTCTTTTCTCGTTACTTCTAATCAATCAATGAAGAAAATAAGACTATAATGACTGACATCTCTTTTCACAACACGCTTTTTAATGAAAGCTCTTTTGCTATTGTTTTCTTCCCCCTTCACTCACACAGAAACTAGTTGAGAAACAAAGAAAATTAGACGAAAGAAAAAACATTTTTCCCGTTCCGGTTAGCACCCGGATATCTCATGTAAACAAACTTTTTTTTTTTTAACCTTGTAAAGTAAAAGACAACCCCACCTTTCTCATTTTTCTTTTGCTACACTTACTGCCCGTTTCTTGGCTATATCAATTATTTGATGAGAAGAAGGAAACGTTTCGGAGGGGAGGAAGATAAAAGTAAGAGAACTAATTAAAGCGGTAAATTACATCCGACTTTACCAACTAGGGTACCTGTCAGTGTCAGTGATGAGACTCAAGTGCAGGCTTCCTGCAGGAATAGTAAGAGGATGAAGTCCCCAGAGAGCCTCCAGCGATGGATGCCCATTTTTACATCTCATATAAGTCTGAAAAGTAGCTATTCCCATCACCCTCAGCCTTGCTATGTTATTCTCTCCAATCCCTCCCACCAGCTTTCCCACTTCCATTTTCATGTGCTCCACTGGGCAATAGTACCCCCTTCCTTGCTGGCTCCATCGACTTTCGTACTCAAGTAACCACTTAAGATCTCCCATATACAAAATAAGCCCTTTGCCAAGACGATTATTCTTAATAATGCTCTTAAGCTCGTCAATCTTGTTCTCAACCTCTGCTTTGGACAAATGACCAAAAGCAGAACGAGTAAGAGAAACAAACTTGACCCCTCTCATACTCTCATCAACATCACCCTTTTCAACCTTATCCATCACTCCTCGTACTACACCTTCAAGACTAACCTCACACTCTCCCACGACAACCGTACTTCTCCGTCTCTGATTCATCAAACTATCTATCACACTCGACACATCCTCGGACCTAACCGGATCCCCGGATACCGATGTTCTGGCGGCACTGTTATGTTCCTTCTGAGAACATATTTCCCCAGAAACCGTTTTCTCGATATTACTTTTGACTTGAGTACTGGAGAACCCAGCTTCCCTCATGACTCGACTGACACTGGGATCATCCAGAATGGAAATGATGAGTTGCTCCAGCTCTATCTTGACGGCTAACAGCGGCTGCTGCTGATTCTCGATGGACCCACGGCGCTGCTGGGCCTGGGTTCGCTTGAAGGCTGCGACCAAGGCGTTGGAGATGGAAGGGCAATGAGAGTAGTGAGCGGTGGGACCTAACATGGCGCTCGCGGTATTGGAAGCGGGAAGGCGGTTGAGGGCGACATTGAAGCAAAGCTCCAAGGCCTTGCACTGAAGAGGATGGGAATGGGACTGAAGGCAGGCCGTTCGGAGTAGGCCGTTAGTGGAGGCGAGCATGGTGTTGGCGACGTGAAGGGGAGTGACTTGGGCGTGGCCGCGGCGCTTGGCCAGCGTCACGGCTTGCTTGACTACGGCTGCAGCTTCGGCGGTGAGACCCTGTTGGAAGGCGCAGCTACCTGTTCTCATCTTCAGATAGTATGTGCGAACTGATCAGAAGTTAGGTTGTGGATGAAGATGCATTAGTTGAGTGGGAGGTGGATGAAAAGAAAATAGTAAGAAGTGATGGAAGAAGAAGGTGGTGGATTTGAGTGTAAAAGAGAGAGGGGGAAGGAAGTGGGAAATTTATGGGAAGGGGTGGGATGTGCTTTTCTTGAAGGGGAGGTTAAATTTTGGGGTCCAAAGAGGATTTTGTTGTGGAAAGTGGATTGCATGTGCTGACAAGCAGGACTGAATGCACCAGTATCAAAGGCTACTCAGCTTTCCTCTCTCTCTCTCTCTCTCTCTCTCACTCGTACGCCCGTTCCACTTTATCTCGTTAAAAAGAAAGCTACCGTATTTGCCATTGCGGGCCACTCAAAAATTTTACTGTTACAATCAATATCTTCTCATATATATCATGCTGGTCATAGCCTAATTATCAATTACCCTAAACACGATCCATATTATAACCATCTGATTTTTATCAGTGTAAGGTAGTTAAACTAGTAAATGAAGGATAAAAGAGACAAGTCGATCGGGGGCGTACAGTTCTTTTTGGGCATGAAGAACTACTATATATATACGGTTGAGTTAGATCAACATCTGTGGAGGTTGCAACTGGCAACTGGGATCATAATTTGCAGTAAAATTGCTGTCATACTCGAATCGTATGGCAACTGGCTTGCACTAATATGTGTCGCCTTACAACACGGTAAGACAATTAAACTCCAAAAGTGGATTGCAAATTGGCAATTGGTAACAAAACTGAAATAAATGGGTGGCCATCCTTATTTATGCACAAAATATACTCTCTAGAGAGAGAGAGAGTATATGAGTATTTGATATGGGGGTTGGGGGAGGAGGAATCGGGAACTGTGTACGATTATCTTGCGGACCCAAAGACAAGGGAATAAAGCGTTCCCAATTGCCTTCCCTATTTTTTATGGAATTCCAACACACACAACTAACTTAAGTAAACACCTTCCACTTTCAACTTTGAATGCATCACTCTGCATGGGGATTATACCCAACATTCTCTTCCTCGTATCCCACATTCTCTTTCTCTCTTTTCTTTATTATTCCCTAAAGTTCCCATTTTTATTCTTACCCTAATTATTCAATCGCCCACATTTAAAAAAAGTTAATTCACAAAAAGCCATCAACTCGAAACTCTCTAACCGTCAAAATACCATAATGACACTAATTCCCATGGGCTCTCTTTCTTCTTCTATTTTTTTTTTCCCCAAAATCTGATCTGATTCACATGGGCTACCTGGAACCAGTTGATCTGCGTCGCAAATACCTCCTTAGCCCTGTCAGCTCTACGCCGATGCGTTGGCAGAAGGCAGCGAAGGAGAAAACCAAACCAGAACCAAGTCTTTTTTTTTTTTTTTCCCCGGCTGAATGAAACTAACCAGAACCAAGTCCAAGAGAGAGAGTCGCCACTTTTTATGAAAAACCAGGCGTCGGTGCGCAGTCAGATTGATATTTTTTACCATTCTAATGGCAAAGTTTTAAAGCGCTATTCAATAATACGGAGTAAAGATGTCGTGGTCGAATTTTTTTTCAAAATATTGCTCCTCCTTAATGGCGCCAATTTATTGACATATTTTTGTCTTCTTAGACACACATTATTATGATCAATAATTTCAGTAAAATGCTAAATTGGGAAGTCATATACTTAAGTTAAAGATATTAACTATCATTATTCCTATTAAGAACCGTAAAGATAGTCTTGCCTTGTAGTTGGGACCAAGAGAAATATATTAGTATGGTAACTATGTTGTCCAAATATAATCATAAGTTTTACTTTTACTGCTTCTACATCGGGGTAATCATTATCAGAGTAATAAATTTCAAATAATTGCACGTCCTAATTCCCTCTCTATCACGCCCTTGACGTCATTGCTTAATTACTTTGGCTGATTATGTTTCAGCCACTAGATTACAATTAATCATTGTGAATTATTCATTACAGCCACAACAGCCAATCAAGCAAAGAGTCCATTAAAGCTTGGGAGAGAGATGAACAAAAGCAAGGGACTAGTTCATTTCATTCCTCACACTTCACTGGAGAGAGGGAGATAAGTTTGATTTGTGGACATCTTGGAGAGGCGTGTCCATTTTATTGAAGCAAGGATTGGGTTCAACGTTGGCTTTGCATAGAAAGCAGAGCAGGCAATAGCACCACCGGGTGCTCCCCTAACGTCTAGGTGTTTACGAAAAGTATAAAACACATCGAAATTACATAAAGACGTGAGAGCATACTTCTACATACAGATATCTCCCTTTCATTCCTCAATCATGGTCTCCACTTTCTCTTGTTTTATACACTGACGCATGACGCATCAATATCATTAATGTGCGGATCCGTCAAGTTATAATTTATGTTACAGCTGCATCTCACCTTGAAAGAAAACCAACCAACAGAAATATGCTTTAAAAAGAACATTACAAGAAAAAGAGAAGAGGCCGAAATGATCTAACAGTCATGAGAGTGATATAATATGATATATTAATGGGTGGCCAGCTCGATGAGCACTCAGCACAGAAACAGAACAAGCTACTCCCATAACCAAGGGGATGTCTTCTTTATAGGGAGCCAGAAGGAACATGTATAAGTAAGCATTCCAGACGTTTAAACGCAACCGAGAACCATTCATCACATTTGACAATCTTCGTCATTTCCGATTTTATTAGCCATACATGGAAAGGGACTACATGTAAATACTGGGACAAACCACCTCTTTTGGGGACATTGTTCAGTTGATCGACTTGATCAGCGACGCTATGTGTTTTTCAGTACTGTTTCATGTTTCAAGTAAAGATGAGAGTCGGTGAAGCAGGAATGAAAGAGACAAAAAGTTGGATGCCAACGCAAGTGGTGTTCGTTGCACATGACCGGCACGTGCTCAAAGAATAGATAAAATGGGTTCTAAGTTGGAAATTACTTTACAGCAATAGGTAATCCAGATGTCGCAACCATTTGTTCCCTCATTGCTGGGTGGGTGAGAGGAAGCATAAGCATAGAAGCTAAGCTAGCAGCTTAGGCTTCCAGTCAAAAAAGTATCTCCTACCTTTGTTGGCCTAAAAAGACTTGCAAAGGGCAGCAAATTATTTGAACACAAAGCACTGATCTGCTATGCTAGAAAAGGAGTGTTTGAATGAAAAAGGAAGAATAGAAACACTTACTTAGAATACACCCTAACCCATCACTTCTCTCTCTCACCAATAACGGTTCGCTTTTTCAAAATAAATAAAGTAGGCGATCCTAATTGCTGAGAGCCAAGTCCTTGCCTGGGCTTGGGCACCATGAGATTTGCGGGAAAGCGAAAGTTAGGACTATCTTTACTTTTCTCTTCTTTCGCTATCAGACTCCTTGATTTTCCTGCAAGCACAAATTTCACTTAGAGCTCTAAAATTAATATATCCTCACCTCATCTTTTGGTTAAAGTGAAGTGCTCTATCATAAAGCAATATTAAAAGTAAAATATGGCATTATCTACTCAAAAGGGGCGCTCATTTTATCCTTTTGAGCCTTCAAATAAGCATCTTTGGTCTCTACGCGGCCATGTGGCTGAAAGCAATATCCAAGAGAGGGAAACCAAACTGAGGGGGGGAAAAGATTAGTTAATAGTAATGGGCAGGCTGGGCAGCTTTTGCACTTTAAAGGCTACAATGGTATGAAAAAGGTGCTCTAATTTTGACATGACAGCCTTGTTAATGCAAAGGAGATGGAATTACGTACCATACCCACCCTCCTTTTCTCAAAAGTTTCTCATTATTTTATGCTTAAATATCTGCACTGCACTCTACAAACTAGTGTTCCATTAAAAACTTTAAAAAGGCCGCATCATTAGACCAACGAATCATCACTCTAAGCCCTGGCGCAACTTTAGAAGACGAAACCAATCAAGAATTATTGTTGCAGAAATAAAGCACCGAACGTGTTGCAGAAAATTCAGCTAATTTAATAAAAATCTGATGACCTAGGGATCCTCTTAGCATCCCGAGCTGGCTATAATTCAAACAGAATGATTTTCCGTTCCTCATTTCTCCAAATGTCAATGACCAGAAGAAAAACACAAAAAGGAGAATTATGATATCCAACATAGCTTCAAGTCTTCAAACCTCAAAATCAGGTACAGATTTTCTTTTCCCTTTTTGCATCAAAATTTATCATTTACTAGTGTTACGCCGCAAAAACAGTAAAGCTTTGCAAAATTTGTTAAATACTCATTTAACACTCGAACGCAAGAAAATCATGATCCGCAGTGCTTTATAATATCACGGTACTCAGCGCTGCCGCGCCCCCAGCCAAAAAAAAAAAAAAAAAAAAAAAGCATAACATTTCTTAGCTGTCCCCTCTATTTGCCGCGTAATTATAATCACACAATCAATTATTATCCTTCTATGTTCGTCTTCATACACAACTTTTCAGCTTACTGCAGATCAATAAATGGAAAATTCTCCCTCAAGTCAACACACATTGAAAGTCTTCCCCCGTTCTTAGTCACACCTCTACCTCTCTAACTGTGACAGTGTGACTTGAAGATCCAACATAAGCAATCATACCAAGATGATAGGAAATCAATAGTATATTAGCACAGTACAGAGACAACTAAAGACACCGGGCCCAGAAAAACTGCAAACCGCAAAATCACATGCCCCGATTTCCTGAGAAATAAAAAAAACACTATAGACATATTCATTCAAGTATCACAAACAAACACGTTTCTACATGAAACCGAACTTGCATGTTAGAGGCAGTGATTAGTCTATGAGCTCAATACTCGGCCCAAAAAAACAGCTCTATAAGATCAAATATACAACACAGGTTAATATGAATGATTACGTATTTACATTCTTCACAAGCAACCTTGCTGGTGGTAATAGCTGTATAACAAGGTAAATCTTCACTAGTAAAAGCCCTTTTCTGCTTTATAAAACCAAAATGAGAAATGAAGACACTTTTGACAAGTAACAATGAAGACAAGTTAGAAAAAAGAAAATCAAAGGAAAAAATAATTGTGAGCTAACCTACAGTCACGGCTTTGATCAGCTCAGGTATCAGTTACAGCTAATCCAAGATCATACTGAAGCAGTGGCGCAAGTATGTACTCCACAGCTGATCTCTGCTTAGTAATTTCACTCATGATTGTTAATTTAGCTGACTCACACGCTTTTTTATTTGGGAAACCAATAGTCCATCTCCCGTCAGTCACATGATCGGATGGGTTGAGGTGCTTTCCATTTCCACTGTTAGTATAGAACTCTGCATCAAACTCTCTTATTTGAAGACGCAACCATGAAGGGTGCTCCTCGTCTATCTTAGGCTGGATCAAGGAGGCAATGAAAATTAATGAAAACATGCATCAAACATGATCAAAAGATATTAAATATGTACACACACAACATTCATAGATGAATGGCTATTTGATGGTTTTTTGTTGCTTAGCATTTGATTTTCACAATCGAGATGTAGCAAAATTTATCATTACAATAAATGACTAAATGAGTCATTGAAGTTATGCAAAAGGGATGAGTGCGTGCGCTCGTTTTCCTTGCTATATGCGTCTTCTAGAATCGCATGAAGATATGCACTGCAATGCATAAGAGTACAAAGTATTCCGTCCTTGAGCCTATCTGGTAATATCTAGAATCATTTGGATAAGAAATCTAAGTTTATAAAACCAACAAAGAGTGAAACCGTCAAAGGCATCTTCTCTATTAGGTGATCTGCCGACATCCTATAAAGATATGACAACTACGTTCTAACCATTAGAATTTTAGGATAACATCTAGCTTACACTCAACCCTGCCAATGGTGCAATTGCAATAACAACTCCACGATGACTGCGAAAAGGATGTTTCTCGGCAAGAAGCAACTTTCCAGCCATTCCACTTGCCACCGGTATCAGGTATATATCCCTGATTTCAGAATTGGAAAATGCAATTCTGCAGGGTGCACCAGATTCTGCAACCGCCATGTAGGGTTAGATGATCAAGAAAAATGATGCCAGGGACAAGATAAACTTTAATCAGATTATGCCTACCTAAGGAAACATCTGATCCGAAGCTAGCATTTGAAACATCTGAAGCATGGATTGCTCCAGAATCATTGGTGGTAGGACTGCCCAGCAATAATGGATTCTCAACTAATACACCTTTGGAAATATATGACTTCAGCTGGATGTGGAGAATAAAAACCTGCACATTTAATTAATAAGATATGTAACCTTCTAGAATTTTGATGAGGATTATATTAACATGTTAATAAAAGCAATGAAATATTGGACCCAGAAGAAACCTTCAATTGAACTCAAAATAAAACAGCAAGAAAATTTTTTACCAGGATATTATTTTTTATGAAAAAGTTAGCATAGGACAAGGCAGGAACCAGAAATGAAAACTTACATTGAAGCTTCATATATATTGTACTTTGAAAGTAACATGAACTTTATCAAGTCAAAACATCTGAGTCACACATGCAAATATCAAACAAAATAAATTTCATGCATTTAATCATGGATTTCTCCACTTCTCATACAGCTAAGTAGAAAACAGATGTAATGTTCCATCACAAGAAGAAGAAGAAGAACACATTATTTAAAATCATTTTTGTTCGGTGTATCACCATACGACTTTTAAATTTTATGAAAAGAAGGCTCCAATTTTCCAATATTGCTATATTGACTTGAATATCATTTTGACAGCAAACACAAATAAAGCATCACGAGAAGATACAGCTTATCTTTATAGAGGTAAGAAATAACCATATTGGTGATCCATAAGATGAATTTGAACTTCATATAAACTGACCAGTCATCATGAACAAAATACCACAGCTAATATGCATGACAACAGGAAAAATAAATCAGTTACAACACCTTCACTGCATCAATCATCCCTTGCCAAGCAAAATATGAAGATGTTTCACCTGTAATAATATAATTTTATTTACTCTTTGGAAGATCGAATAATAACCAGTACTTTGAAGAAGATGCCAGGAATTCATTCAAGATGAGAATACCATTAATTGATTGTCGGTGGAGAGCGAGCTCTAGCAAGAACAAAGGATCTTTATGCTGGGAGGATTCCTCGAGAACTGCATGTAGTATGAAGCATGAGCACAGAGAAACAAGATCATGGAGTTCAATTTGCCTTAGAGCATAAGGATAATTTTAACTGCTACTGTTTTCATTTTCAAGGAAATCTATGTGCGTTTTATTCAGCCAAATTTACCATATTTTAGTTATAATCAGTCCTCAAACAGTTTGCCAAATAAAAATCTACTAGGTTCAATCACAAAGTCAATCAGGTAACAGGTACCTCTTTTACAACTTGCCCATTGACTTCTTAAAGCATTTGGAATATGATCAAACCAAATTCCATCAAGTTCTTTTAGAAAGCCTTCTCGGGACTGCTTGCATGAAGTCTGTTGATAAAAACTAGAAAACATAAAACTTCAGAAACTTTGGGTGCAATACAAATTGATATTCGTGAAATGGCAATGATGAAATTAATCTTTGCTTCCCATAGCTCGGAAACCACATCCAAAGCCAAAAAAACAAAAAAGATGAATTCAATCATGTAGAGACATCAATTTTCCTTGGTCATACTTCTGAGAGAGAGAGAGAGAGAGAGTTATATATACATGACACCAGCAAAATTCCATTTACAATAGCAGTGTACAGGAAACTAGCTGAATACCTACATTGAACAGGTGGAGATTATCACCATGAAGTCCCACTCTGTGAATGCTAAGTAGCTTTAGAAAGCACCACCCCGTATGCCATAGTGTCATAGCAGAGAGGGATTGCTGAAAGGCTAAAACCTTCAACAGAGCATTTAAAATCTGCAGATTTCAGAGGAACCAGGTATTTTGTTATCTTGCTTAGTGTGGAAACCAAATTCAAAACCTAAAACAACAAAACAAAATCTAGGGATTGATAGTAATGTTAAATATACCTCAGGCATAAATTTAATGAAGATACCTCCATCTGCAGATTTAGAAGTCGATTCATCATCAGTCTGCAACTGAAACACAGAAAGAGGAGATAGAAGAGAGAGAGAGAGAAATGTAAGACATTGAATTCTAGTTGAGGAAAGGTTCCAAAAGTAGAATAACGAGCATAAAGCATGCCACATTAATATAATGGCAACATGTAACTAATAACAGGCATACAATTACATTTCGCACCTTATATAACCCAATCACTGGAGCTACGGCACAATCAAGATCTGCAGTCAAAAGGTGAATTTTAAGAAACTTAAAACTTACTGATGAAGATTACTGCCAGGCTACATGCGTAGAGTGAAATCAATGTACCTTTACTTTCTGACAAAATAAGTAATAAAAACAGAGAAGCTAGCAGCATGACATAATGGTCAGAGAAAATATATGCAAGTATTCCATCCCTGCAGCAATACATATTTCATTAGAGAATGTCAAGATACTTATCAACTTTCATTCTGATGGAAGCCAAGCAGAAAACTGCATAAATTATATGAACACTATGATAGAATCCCCTCATGAATTAACATGTGAGTAGGCCAAAAGCAACGATGAAAACTGAGAAAAGACCAACCTTTTAAGATAAATATCCCCATTGAAGCTGCGAACATTGAAACTGGACATGAAATCTGCCATATGAGCATCATCATAGTTACCGTCATTGCCCTCTACTCCTTTGCACTCGGGAGCAGAACACATAACTCTTTTCACTTCATTCACGTGCTTAGAAAAAGGATAAACACCGTTGTGTTCATGAGATGCATTGCCTTCATTCAGATGTCTCACATTTAAGGTCAGTAAAGGATAGAGGATAACTCCAGCCACATTATTGATTATCCACCTTCCACCAACAACTTGAAGAAGAAGTGACAGGACATATAGAGACGTGATTGCAGATAGTTCTGACTCCTGGAGCACATAATGTGTTGTAACAAGTATATCATATGGAAAAACGCTTTCCAGATAAAGCAAGAACAATTGACATGCAAGAGTTCCATCAACATGAAATTTTCACTTCTGTTTTCTAGTAAAGTTGTTTTAAATTTTTCATTTACCTTGTTGTACGTAAGCTATCCCCTACTTTTAGAAAATTTGAACCCTAATGAACTCAACAGTAACCTTTAGCATAATTAGGAATGGTGCAAAACAGAGAATAGTAACAAATAATGGAATATTAATTTGCAGGACACGTCATAAACAATATTCAGTATGAAAAACATATGATCTCACATTGTTCTCTTTTGAAGCCAGTAATGACATTATTATTGGAAATACAAGTCTGTCGAGAAGATTTTCAGTAACAAGTCTACTCAAACAAGGCTCGCCGACACTAAGTATGTCTTTAAGGTAGTATAGATCATCCACAACTTTATCAGATTCAACAATCAGACTGTTTCTTCCCTTTTGCATGTCCATCTCCCTGCATCAACGCAGAACATTCATCTCTTAAGATTCACCTTGAGCACATACAAAAATTACAACGATTATCTTAAAAAATTCTAAACTAAATACTAGAAACATACCCTCTAGAATGGAGACAAGCGTCTAAATGAAAGCAAATATCTCTTAATCTGTAAACCAGGTCAGAGAAGTACTCTGAAACTGGAGGAGTTGTTATGAATCGAAAGACCATGACATCGCTAACTGTAGAACCAAGATTGTGTTAATGTTAAATTGAAAGCGTATTGCACAAAAGCATGATCATAAACAAAGACAACAGTATACCATGGTAAATGTTAAGAGTCAATGCACGTATAGCAGTCTTAATCATCCTTTCCTCGTGATGGGCAAACCTAAGAGCCTCAGTATACAAGGGAAAGGAAACAACAGCATCCTGCAATTGATAGATCATCACAGAAGAATCACACAAGGGTTTGGGTGAATTCTACCGTAAATGCAAAAGGAAGCAGTAAACTGAACACACTGCCAATTTATTGCAAACTGATAGTTACAGAAAATTGGTGACACTAATATTCACCATAAGTGCCTCCTGAACTACATATATTAAGTGGAGAATTATGTAAATCTAGTTTGACTGAAACCTTAATCAAAATAACATTATATTATATCTGCTGATGGCATGCTTTATATGCTAAAATAAGATCTTTAATGGTCCAAGTAAAAAAAAAAGGCCTAATAAATGCAACACAAAAAGATTGTGCCCTAGGTCTCGTTCAAAAGTGAGACAGCAACAATGTTGGTTAAACATATACCAACAATACAATAAAATGATATTTATCTTACCCCATGAACCTTCACAAGCAGGCAAAGTGTGTCTCTGTTTACCTTACTGCTAACAGCTCTGAATGAATAAAGAAACAAAAAGTTAGAAGAAGAGTAAAAACAAAAGTGAGGAAGGAGAGAGAAACATCGAAAAGAATGAATAGATCAAAACCTTAGAAAAGAAACGTAGTATGGAGCTAAGTCTCCCCCATCAAAGATATATGGATGTGAAATTATGTTGTTAATATAATCATTGCTGAAACAATAGTCTGCAACATGCAAAGATATCACAACAATTTTACATGAGTAACAGTCCTAATCCTGGTCTTGCTAATTGAACACTTTTCAGATAATAATTCAAATATGCAGAAACAGGTTAAACTTAAAATTTTAGGAGATTAGCCACAGATGACAATTAAGTAAGCATCTTACAGATAGAATGTTCACTATCCATATTTTGGATCAGTATGCTCAGATACTGAAGCAAAGGTGCCTCGATTTTAGAATTTTTACTGATCTTTAGTATACGAACGAATTCTGCCAGTACTTGGTGTTCCATGAAACATCTGAACAGTTACAATCAGTCAGGAGTATACAAATTTTATCAAGATCAAAGAACAAAATCAGAAGACAAGAATGTCACAGTGCACAAGGGACCCGTACTCAAAAATGAAAGGATCTTGTCTATCACCATAAGTGACTATCTCAACAATGGACTGCAGCAAATCCATCACTAGTTCCTGAAAGAAATGGCAGGAATGGCAGGCATGAGTATATGGCTGTTCCCCTGGGTCCAGTAACTCCAGTATAACTTAAATGAAATTAGGAATGGCATTTTATGGGGGGATAAATGAACAGCATGGATTAAAAGTGAATTAATTTACCATGTTTTGTTTATTTACAACTTTAATCCGCCGCAATTCATTGATGACAGATCTGTAAACCCAACGAGATCATACAGGTCATAAGTATGACAGAATGATCAACAAAATTAATTTAAAAATGAAACAGGCATACAAACCAGAAACAACAGATCTAGGCGCTTAGAATCTGACAAGTCATAACAGCTTTTTTCTGGCTAAAACATAGGTCATAACAACCACTCCCTAACTTTTCAGCTTGACCCCATCCAAGGGGCTGTGTATGGCTCCAAGGATTGAACATTGGAGAATATAGGCAGGGAATGAAGACTTCCACTATATCCTGACCCTTACAAGTAGGATATGATAAGGAACTGTGGGAAATTCAAATGTCCACTATATTTGTGTTAGAAATTTGTTTATAGAGATCACAGCATTGGACTAATTCAGTGAATTGCTATTAAGACTTGCAAGTTGGGCGGTGCTACTTAAAGCCTAACATTTACATTCCGTCGGAAGGGATGATCAGTAGGCTGTGGCAAGTCAGAGTGCTTCAAAACAAGCATTCACAGGTGCGACTGTCGAAGCATGCACAATTAATACAAACATGATAAACTTCGACATTTTACGAATCAGTGGATTGTTTGCTCCAATATGTTATGGTCCACCTATGACCAAAAATTATAATGCCGGTTGTTCAAGCATTCAAAATAATTAATAGCGGAGCCTAAGATCATAACAATACCCCATTTCCTTTCACTTAATTCTTTCTCTGCGTCATATAAAATTGCAATTTACATGCAGCTAAATTTGACATCAAACCCTAAAAAAGGTGAAGTACATTGGGAAAAAGAGGAGAGACAGGGGGGATTAAACGAAAAGGAAAACTTACTTGAAGTGCTCAATAGAGAAGCGATCGACGGCTCGCCAGAAGGTATGCCACATGGTGATGAAGGAGATCTGTGGAGACGGTAATCGAAGTTTTGCATTGCAATGTAAATGAGTGGTGGCGCCCAAAAGCCAAAACACGCTGCTTTGGCCGTTTGGTAGCTTCCTTTTGCCGTAAACGCCTCCCTCAACAACCTTTCAACCCCATCATACATCAAGTCAACCCTTTTATTTCTGACCTCTTGGCATTCACCTTTTTCGTGACCCCAGAGGGAGGGGAGAAAAAAGAAGCAAAGACATGGAATTACTCAGAATCTGGAGTCACAGCTCTTAGCTCACTTCTTACGCATCTCTGTGCTAACTGGTGTTGACTCCTAACTAAATTCATAAAAGATTAATATAAATTTTAGTCCTTCAAATTTAAGTCAATTTTGGTATTAGTTTCTGGAATTCTAAACACATGATATTGGTTCCTAGAATTTTGGTCATTACAAAGTGTTGGTCCCTAATATCTTCACACCATTAATTTTGTATGAGATGGCACTAATACTGGTAGCCTAGTGAGGGGAACATGCTGACGTGGCAATCAATAACAACTGAAGTGATTTCATCGCTCACTTCAAAAGACGGTGGGCTAAACCGTAGCATATATGGCTCTTTACAGGTGGTTCCTTCGGGGCGCAATGCTAGGTCCCTTTTTTTCAATAACTTCTTCATCATCTTAGCATGCTCATCGTGATCCCTTGTTAATCAGAGGGTCTTGATGGGTGAAAGAATCTCCGACATTCTGCTCAAGCTATATGTCACAGTGATCAAGTTTCTTCTTTGATGCAAACGACAGATAAAGAGGATCCAACAATGTTTTGTGGTTGCATAAATAAAACTGAAGATGATTCCCCTTACTACCCTCTCATCATCTTCATTACTTGTGTTGGGCATTAAAGTCATCAAACGCAAAGCAGTGATTGACAGTAAAGGAAATGATATGTGGTACAGAAGTAATTAAGCATTACTGGCTAAAAACCAATCCATTCACTAAAGCTTGACCACAAGTTGATCAAGCTAATTAATTAATGCAATGTTCAAAACAATAAGACTAAAAGAACAGAACTTGTAATGAGTTGATAATTTGGAATCAAGAGACTTGGTCAAGCTACAAATGTTGGGGTGTCAAGACGTCCTTTGCCTTCCCATTCAAGAGCTTGGACTTAAATGGGTTGATCTCATCCCGAAGACTATGTCACCACATTATTATTATTATTATTATTTTTGAGCAAAACACCACATTATTTTATTAGCTCTGTTTTTAGTCTCAAAAATAGAGACTAGCAGAGATGCAATTTGAATTGTAACTTGACATTATTTTAGTTGCATATCATGAATTTTGATGACATCACAACAATATCGTAGTTGGATATGATGGATTTTAGTTGAATATAATAGTAGCTAACGAGGTATTATCAATGGAGTACACAGTATAAGGTGGAATCGCCACCTATCAACAAGAGTTTTTCTTTTCATGACACAGTGTATAAGCTGTAAATTAGGGGGGAAACATTAATTTACTTATTTTATTTCAAGATCTAATAACAAAGCATTTGACATACCTTGGAGATGTATCCATCATAAGCAAGCTTGTACTTGCTGTCAAGGGGAGTCCTAAGCACCATTATGCCATTCACACATGAAATATGCCACTTGGACCGTGGAATTGTCTTTTTTTTTTTTAGTGGAAAGAGGAGTATTATTGCAAAGTTGTTGTCTCGAGTGAATTAGTGGGAGAGATCAACAACGTATTTGCTGCCTCCATTTATATTGTTTTGTCATGAGTGTGAGCTTTTTTTGAGTTGCTTTTTTTTCCCCTTTGTGTCCAGGTCATCAAGCTATATATGTGCCAGCTTGTATATCCACCTCATTAGGTTAACAGTGTTAGTGCCATCTCAGATGAAGTTAACGGTGTAAAGGTATCAGGGACCAACGTTTTGTAACGACCAAAGTTTTAGCGACCAATACCATGGATTTGAAATTTCAAGGATCAATACCAAAATTGACTTAAATTGAAGGGACTAAAATTTGTATTAATCCATTCATAAATTTTAAATTTTATTACAATCTAGACTGCATGGTGATCAATATTACTGACACAAGAAAAGAAAGTGAGAAACTCCTGTGCACTATTGTCAAACTCGCGAGTTGACTCTCTGAGTTTGATGTTTTTACGTTTTTAGTTAACAAAATTGTGTCAACTTGCTTTTAAACTCGTGCTAAATTTTGTAATTTAATTATATTTAGTGACTTTATATATGAATTTTATAAAAATTTCTTTGTTGAATATGATAAATTATAAACATTGATAGATATAATTTTAATTATTTAAATTTAAAATATATTTAAATAAAATTGTTCTCATTTTTTATATATTAGTTATTTGATTATATATTTTTAATACTAATTTATTAATAAAAGTAAACTCTTACAAGTTCATGATCTGAGTCTGCGATCCAAGTTTACATCATTAACACGAGTTTGTTTAAACTCGTGAGTTTAACAACCTTGCTCCCGTGACCGGAAAAGGAAATAAAATAATAGGAGATGGCGGGAAGATTTTACAGGGCGTCTACTGTTTTTTGAAAATATCATGATATATTTTTGGAAAATTGAAAAAAATTTCTCATTAAAAAATTATTTGTGAAAAATGTCTAATAAAGTTCTAGTAGTATCTTATACGTACTTTGATTTAGGTCAAATTATATGGCAAAAAAAGTCAGCCTCAAAATTATTATTCGTTCTGCTTTCATTTTTTTAATACTTTCTTACCACTTGTTTATGTAAAAATTTTGGCGTTCCTGCATTTAAATTCAAAATAAAATGACGTGATTTTTTCATTCAAAAAAACATCTATCTTCGAAGGGTGTCCCAAATGGACCAGTCCCATCCGCATTAAACCGGCATCGTGAAATGGGCCAACCCACTCCTCCAAACAAGCAAACATTGATAACCTTTTAAAAGAGGGGTTGGGGTAGTTGAATGTTTCTATCGTTGTTTTGAGTAGCTTCTTTTGAACGTGTAATTGTTCTTGCAAATAATTAAAAAATAAATAAATCTACAAGGGCAAGTATTTCACTTAATTATAAATATAAGATTGTTTAACTAGTTCGTAAAATTTTTAAAATATTTAAGATGGTTATTTATAATTAATATCTGGAGATTTTGCAATTTTTTTGTTGAAAGTATCCGTTAATGAGTAGAAATAAAAATGTCCAAATAAGTAAAAATATTATAAAAAAAGAAACAATTAAAATGTCCAAAAAAATAAAAATAATATAAAAAAAACAATTAATGTGTGACACATTAAAATTTAAACATTATATTTACGGACTTTCATATTAGGTGCAGTGAGCATATAAATTCTCGTGTCACCTAAAAATAAGCAGTCTAGGCTCTAAAATGTTCAAATGTATTTTCCCTGAAATTCCAGTATTGTACCAGTCACGGTTGGACAATCAATCCACCGGACCAGTTTCAATATTCACTGTAGTACTCTTCCGGTCCTTAATATAAGACCTATTTAACTAATTTGATTAGATTAAGGAAGTTAGGTAAGTTAGTTAATTATAAGAAAAGTGACACATTTTTCCTAAAACACCATAATCATCTTTCTTAATACCCCTCTTCCTCTTCTACTTGATTATGGTTGAGAGAGTATCCATAGGGGTAATTTAGAGAAAATTAATAAATATGAGAAATGGGTTTTATATTTAGGACCAAAACTAACTCAAGAATTGAGTCCTGTATTAAGGACCGGAGGAGTAATATTTATCAAATCTCAACTGTTCAAATTGAAAATGGATAGCTAAGATTTAACTTTTTATATTTTTATTTTTTAAAATATTTTCTTTAATATATAGATAATCCAAAATAAATATAATCTTTTAACTGTAAGTTTTCTTAAAGGGAAAATGACAATAAAATACCACCTGAATTCCAAAAAGACAAATAAGGGACCTGAATAAGCAAAATGACATATAGGGGATTGGGTACCAATCTGGAATTCAGATTTTTGGCCAAAAGACCAAAATGCCCTGTCTGAAAGTGAGAGAAAGGAGAGAGGAAGAAAGCGACGCAGTGAGAGAAAGGAGAGAGGAAGACCGACGGTGATGAAATGCGGGAAGAAGGAAAGAAGAATGTTGGAAATGCTATTATCTTACTCCTTCGCATCACCATTCTGTAGAGATTGTTGATTTGGTGGGTTTTGGTTGTAGGAAAGAGGATTTGTAGTGAGAGAGGGAGTGAACCTGCGGGGAAGATGAAGTGGAAATCAGAAAACAATGACAAGCAATTACGTTACGTAACTGCTGTCATATGCCTGCTGGTTTTTGGTAAATCCCACTACGTGAATGGTAAATCTCACTATGTGAATGGTAAATTTTACTATACATGTAGTTAATTATGAATTTTACAAAATACATATTGTGATTTACAACTTTTGTAGTGAAAGTGACTACTTTGTTAATGGGTTTTGCAACCTGTTTTCAGAAGATAAATAACTTGTTTGTAAAAACTAATAAAATTTCACGCTAAATTTGACAAAACGTATAGTGGGATTTACAACTTCCGTAGTAAAAATGACCACTTATTCATGTTGGAAATTGTGCCCTAGGGGTCAATCATTATGTTTTGAACATTGTTAATTTATGAATTTATCAATTACGTTATCATATTATTTGCATGTTTTCTGTGGTAACTATCCTTGGATAACTCATGGTTTATCCTAAATGTCCCTGGTCGGTCATCTATGTGGGAGCAAAGATGAAATAAGACCAGTATGACTTTAAAGATATATAGAGATATAAATTAAAGTCATAAGCACATGTAAGAGTACAAGGTGTTGGACCGACCCGCTATGAGAGAGCTGCATGGGTTAAGTCATAAGCTTCTCTCATATACAAACCACGTCACTCTGCCCTTTGACCTGAGATCATCATGGATTCCTACATGAGAAACGCTTAGCTTTGACCTAGTCAAAAGTCACTTTTGACCGAGTGATCATAAAGACTGTGTTCAGGCTT